CACCACTAAAATTTTTTTTTAATCCAACAGTTAACTGCTGTCACTGCAGTCCCAGACACCCAGGGCGTTATAGTTCATTGTGGTGACCCTGGGACTGTAAATAATAATGGGGTAACTAGAATAGGTGCTGGACTTGGCACCTGAATGACCATAGCCCAGTCTCAGCTGCTCAGATGTGCTACCTTGTAATCATGGTGAAGTCACTGGAATTGTTTTTTCAAACTGTCAAATCAAGGTAATGGTCTCTTTCTTCCTTTCCCAGAGCTACAGTGAGCTGAACACCTTTGGGGATGCAGAATGGAGGCTATGGGGCAGTGCAGGTTAGCACAGAGGCTTTGGCAGCAAACAGATTTGGGGGTAAAGCTTGGCTATAGCACTTACGAGCTCTGTGACTCTGGGCATGTGCTCAGCCTCTGCCTTGGTTTCCTCTTGCAAAATAGGTTCAACACCAGTACCGACCTCAGAGAATCATGATGACATGTAAATGGAATGATATATGCAAAACAGTACAGTGCCTGGTAGATAATAAAGGCTCAGTGTTGTCTCCTTTTTATTGTTATGCTAAATATGTACAAGAAATCTTAGGTACACACCATATAAAATCAGAATAGCATCATGTTCAAGGACTGTAAACCTAATTAAAGTGACTGACATAAAGTTATATGGTGTTTGATATTTAGGACGCAATAGGAACGCAGAGCCAGGAACTTTGAGAGATCTCTGAAATGGGGTCATTGTCTACAACAATTAGAAAACTCAAGAGTAGGGACTTTCACTTGTGAGACATGATTGAGATCCCAAGTACAAAGCAGTAGACCCAGAAGTTGTGAAAGAAATCACATAATGTATATTCATGAAGCTCATCCTAGGTTCAGAGGATTGTCCTGATCCAATCTGAAATCATCTCCTGGATTTATCACCTTCACATTGACCAATTGGAGAGACCCCGATGGACCTTCTACAAGTCAGATCCTGTGTTAGGCTTTGATGACGCAGACCCAGGCCCCGCCCTCATATAGATGTACAGTTTCTGGAAGCGCTGACACAAAACATGTCAGTATAGGCATATTCTTGAAGTTTGAAAGCACTGAATTGTTCCTTCAACAGTGATTGGTGTGGATGTTGCCGTCTACATGTGGAAACTGCCCCAAGTTCAGAGTCACACTGGTCCATTGCAAACTCACTGTGGCACCAGGCTGCTCTGCTGGAGGAAAATCCACAGCAATGGAAGTTGATGCTTCCCACAGGGAGCCATGGAATTCTTTCAGACAGGCTTCCTCACAGGAGCTGTAACCTTGACCACAATTTCCTCCTAGAAAGTAACTCAGCCTGAATTGCACTCCAGGTCAGCAACAAATGCTTAATATTTTAAGTGGAAATCCGAGGCGTGACAGGATGACACGTGTGTCTCACATGGTCAATTTGTTCATTTCCTGGAACTGACATTCATGGTGAAACTTTCTTAAATTAATCTTAATTTCTAGCCACTATCTACCAGATCCTGCCTGACAATGCCTTTACTATGACTGTAGGAATGGAAGATTTCCAGGGCTTTGAAATGGAGATTAGTACCTGGAGACTCCAAAGTAAATTCCTTTAAAAGTAATTCAAGTATAAAATCTCACTTTAGAAAGTCTGCGAATCCTCATTTCTACACAACCAAGCCTCTTAAAAAATGACTCCTGGTCTCACCTCAAGAGACTGGGTCACAAAGTCTTGGTTTTTAATTGTCTCCTCTCTGAAAAGATGGTTTTCTCGTCGCCCAGTGGCCCTCCAGTACGTTTGTGTGAGTCTACGTTCATTTTGAATGGGGGAGATTGGTGAGGTTGGAGGAGGCCGGGTTAGAGAGAATGGGAGAAGCCAAAGGAGAAACTAGGGTCAAAGGGGAGAGGTTGCAACTTCTGAAATATTGGGTTGAACAGAGGGTTGTGTTTCCAGATCAGAGAGGGGCTTTTCCAGGCAAAGTCAGGACAACAGACTGGCCCAGAGGAATCTTCCAGTTGGGCGAAGGTGCCCCAGGGAGTAGAATGGGAGGGAAGCAACCCGACCCTGAGGGGCTAGATGACTGCACTGCCAGTAAGACAGCAGCGGTTGGCTCTGATTTCAGATAGCCTTGCCACCTGCCCTGCCTGCACGCTGCTCCCTACCCCTCATCAGGCTGGAGGAAGCATGGCTTGGATGCAGATCTGAAGGCTCACTGAAGAGCCAAGTTCTATGGCTCTGGGTCCCAGCAGAGCTGGGGACGGGCAGGAGGAGGAGGAAGAGAGAAGGCACAGCCTCTCCCTGCTCAGGAGCTGATGCTCAGTGAGCGAGTGTGGGCCTGGGCTGCGGGCGGGCCGGCCTCAGAACTGCCTGGCCCCTTTGGTGCTGCTGCCTCAGCTTTCTCCCTATTCCAGGGGGCGGCTGGGAGTGGGAGCTCCTTCCCCATGCCGTGCCTCCCCTCGTCGTTTGGATCTCCGGAAGGGAAAGCCCCTGCCCCTCTTTGAAGCAGCAGCAGGCACCGCTTGTCTCTTCTCTCCTTCCCGCAGGCACTTCTGGTCGGAGTGCTGCCTCTTGCTGGCTCCTTCTGCTTCTGCTGGGTCCTCCCGCTGATTGGGAAGAAAGTGCACCGGTGGGGTGATGGGGGTCTGGAACTCTTAAAGGAGCAGTTTTATTTCTGTTGGAGATTTATTTACCTAGCACATTATTTTTTTTCCTGTCTTTCCCCAATCAATGTAATCCGATGAGAAAAGTGAATCAGATATAAAGCGACCATAATCACCATTTAAATGTGAATTGTAGATGGTCTTGTTTTCCTCTAAGGATTTTCGAGCAGCTCCAAGCACCAGCCCTAGCAACGATCATTATTAGCAATCAAATCCAATTCGAGGATCCTTTACCGAAGGCATAGAGATTGGGGGCCACCTATCTGAGCGAGGCAGTCCGTGCCACCTCAAAGGCTCAGAGTCTAGGGCTGGAGACTGGAATTCCATGAATAAACAAGGCACAGAGATCATTTGAAAATCCTGGCACTGGTTTTACCAATAGCTTTTCCACGGTGGAATCTTTGACCAGAGGAGTTTACACAAGTAGCCAAATTGACAAGGCAATTTGAAAGTCAGTCTTCCCTTGGCTGCCCATTGGTTAATTTGCATCAGTCAGCTGGTATTTGTTAAGAACTTGGTCCTTTGCAAACACTTAAGCAAAGCCTCACAGGATGCTAGAATTGCAGTTTATCTTAGTGCCTTGTTTCTGTATGTGAGTGTATGCTTTTTTCTGAAACAAAAAATGTGAAAGAAACCAAACTCCGGCCCCCTTCAAGCTCAGATTCTGAAGTCATCCACCTCTTGGAGCTCTAGCACCTTCTACTGGGTTCAGCGCTAAAGGGGATTTCAGGTTTATTCTGGGTTCCAATCCGGGTTCCCCTCTAGGAGCAATGTCAGGTCTTGAGCAAATTACCCAGTCGCACTGCCTCAGTTTCTTCTGAAAACAAAACAAAAAGTAGAGAAAAGCTGTGGATGATTTTGAGAATATGAGATAATATTAGAGAAGCATATTCATATAGAAAGGAGGGTGCCAGAGCAACAAGAGCCAGATGGCCTGTGGATCAAGTGTCTGTTTCTACGGTGGGGACAAATGAGCCCCTGAGAAGAGACTTGATCAGAGGCACACACGAAGTCACTGCCAGGGGCTACTCCCTCCTTACAGCGACACGGAGAAAGCAGACGAGATATGTGGGACTCCGGAGTACTTGGGCTCCCGAAACGCCAGAACCGGGTACCGCCCCTTCGGACACCCCTTCTCCAGGCCAGGCAGCCTCTCCCTGAGGCACGGCTAAGGGGCTGCGCCCTGTCCCGGACTGCTGTGGAGGCTGATAGAGGGAGGAGTCTGCACGTGCAGAGGGACGGATTCTCTGGCCCGAAGGGGGGACAGGCCGCCGATGGGTGGGATAGCGGGCAGACACTTGGTGGTTTTCTCATTTTCAAGGGGAGCAAAGTGCAGAAGTCGTTTTCTCAGGGCACGTGGTGGCCGTGCGGACAAGGTGGTAGTACCACCGAGTTTCCTGGCGTCCTAATCCCGAGCCCAAGGACCACACAAGGAAGGCCATCGTGCGTGCCCTGCAGCCCCGGGACTCCAGGGCCCAGAGCATGGGCACCGACTGGGTGGCGTGCCGCGCCTGGCCTCCCGGTCTGGCACTGCGGCATGCCCGGGTGGCCGCACGCGGCGCCGCGGGGACGGTGAAGGTGACCGCCTTCTCCTTCCCGGCCCCCCGTGCTCTGCGCTGCGGACCCGAGGGATGCTCGGGCCCGCCAAAGTTTTCGCTGGTGCTCGGGGACCCGAGGAGAGTCCCCGGGAGGGGTCTACGCGTCGCGCAGCGGGGTCCGACCCCCTCCCCGCGGCAGTTGGTGCGCTGTTTTCTGGCTGCGAAGCGCAGCTCCCAGGGGTGGGAGTGGGCGGGGAATCAGAGTGGGGGTCCCCTTCCCGAAGCCTGAGCCCCGACCCCGCCGCCGCCCCTCCCCCCCGCAGCATTCCCGTGACTGTCTCTCGGACCGGGACCCGGGCGCGGGTCCCCCGCTCTGCGGCCGCTCGCGCCAGCTGATTTTGACAGAGGGGGGTCCCGGGCCGCGCGGGCGGGCGGAGCGAGCCCCTGCCAGATCCGGGGATGATAACGTGCCGGCTCCATGTCGCGGCTTCAGGCTGCCCAGGCTCCGCCCCCTGTGAGTGTGTAAGTGTGTGATGCTGCCGCGGCCGCCGCCTGTGCAGCCGCCGCCGCTGCTGCCGCCGCCGCCGCCGCTGCCTAGGCTGCCGCTGCCGCTGCCCCGGCCGCTCCTGCTGCCGCCGCCGCCGGCCCGCAGCCCGCCAGGCAGGCGGCCCCGCCGGCCCGAGACCCCAGCGGCGTCCGCCGCAGCGTCGGGGCGCTGGGCACGCGGGCCGCCGCGGAGCGAGCGGACCCGAGCGGGCGGCCAGGCGCTCGCCTGCCCGGTGCCGCCGCCGCCGCCGCCGCCGCTCCCGAGCGCAGGACCCGGCCCCTCCGGCGCCCGCCGCCGATGCGGCCCGCGCACTTTTAGCCGGGCGGGAGGGCAGGGGAGCCGGGCCGCCGAGAGCCGCGCCGAGAACCGCGCCGAGAGCCGCGCCGACCCGCGCCGAGCAGGGACGCCCGCCTGCGCCGCCCGGCCGCTATGGATCTATTCGACTTTTTCAGGGACTGGGACTTGGAGCAGCAGTGGTAGGTGTTACTGTTTTGCCTTCTCTTTGGCTACGCGGGTTGCCGGCTGGGGCTAGGCTTTCGCCTTTGTTAAGAGGCGCGGGGCTGCGGCGGGGGCGCCCCAGACGCCCTTCCGCTTGCTCCCGGCCACCCCTGGCCCCGGCCGCCGCGAGTCCTCCGTCCGGCGCCCGGGTGGGACGAGGCGCGGGCCCGGGGAGGGATGCGGGGCCCGAAAGCGTCACTCGGCACGCCAAGTCCAAAGAGTTGCATTTGTCCCCGATCGGGTCTGGTGCGGCCCGGGGGCAGAACAGCACCACCTTCGCCAGGATTTGCCCCCAGAACGGCTGCCAGCGCCGGGCTGGCTCCCTGCGCACCGGAGGCTGGCGCCTGCAGAGCCTCAACTTTCCGGGTGTCCGACGCCGGCGGTCGGCTGTGGGGACAGGCAGTGAGCCGCAAGGTGCCACCGGCCGCCCTTCGCTTCTTCGGCGGCCGTCGTCGCCACCTCCGTCCGCGCCACCTCCGTCCCCGCGCGGCGCGCACACCTTGCCTCGTATCCGCTCAGCCCAAGCTTCGTGCACTCGGGCGCCGAGCGGCGGCTTTGGGGGCCACGAAGCGGGGAACCCGGGGCCGGGCTGTCTTAAGCGTGCTGCTTTCAAGACGGATGGTTTTGGAAGTTGGCCCCCGAAGGCGGCCGCCCCGACGGCTGTGCACGTTGAATTAACGGCCGGAACCCTGTCCGCTCCCACCGGGAGGCAGCCGCAGGTTTGTGGAATGGACACGCAGCTCGGATTCAAAGGTTTTCGCCAAATACCGTAAATGTGTCTCTGAGAGGGTTTTGAACAGGGTGCAGAGGTGACTGGGGAGCTGGAAAGTTGTTCTTCTCTGCGTGATGTGTGCGCGCACGTGTGCATAAATAGTGATATACATAACTATTCACTTTTTAAAAAACTCCACCTTCTGTCACAAACGTTCTCGTTGTCAATTTGTCACAATATTTTAGCATAACAAGTTCCCCCCAACCCCTAGCCCTTGGAATTAGATGGGGTGAGGGTGCGGCGGCAGCGATTTAGAATTGCACTCTGGGTTATTGCCTTTTAAAAGGTAGTTAGAATAATCGAGAGTACTGAGCGATAGGTGCGAAATCTGTTGCAATATTAGACTATCAGCAGCCGTTGAGTATGGATGCTGTGTATTTTTACAAGGATGTCCCTTGCTGATGTGATATTTTGGGCAATTTCCTTCTTTAGAAAAGGGTCATACGCTTGGCCAATAGCTTCATTATGCCAATCACGACTCCTTTAGTTGCAAATCCAAGATAAACACAACTTAAATACATTTTATTTTACAGCAGTTCCGGGTAAATCCTTGAAGCCACAAATTATTCTGTATCGGTATTAATCTGTAAGGCATTTTTGATACCTTGCAGGGTTTTATCAGCTTTGCAGAAAAACATATTACAATTTTTAATGACATGCTGTTATTTAAAAGCAAAGATCACAATAAAATTACTGCTCAATTAAATATTATGCTCCTGCACACAGCCTCTACTCCGCCTAATTTATTTTTGGAGACAACAGATAACCACGGCATTACTATTTGCATACAATTTGCCTAATATACGGTGTGGGTAACATCATTAATTTAACATTGCTGTAATTGATTTAGTGTGTGTAGTTCAAATGTTCAACATTTACAAGATATTAGGTATTTAAAAAATGTGTTATGTTATTTTAATTTCAGCTTAATCTCAGGTACATGTAGTTGCATATTTAAAGAGCTCTTTTAGGTTTGATTTCATTTTTTGGAAAGATATGCCCCACCCCTCTTGGGAGACTGTCTCTTCTGAAATTAAGGAAAACGCAAAACATTTTCTCCTCCACCTCCCTAACTGCCACATCGCCTAAGAAACGTGCAGACTTGGACACTCCTTGGATAGTATATGAAATACCAACGAATTAGTACAACATATCTGCATAAATGAGCTGGCCTGTTTCTTCTGTGCATATGTTCCAGAAACATTTCCCCTTCTTACTGTTTGATTGTCAGGGGCAAGCTTCCTTATGAATCTGTGTGTGTAAACATTTGTGATGTGGCGGTGCATCTATTTTGTCCCCCCCCACCCCCCACAGAGAAAAGCATAAATGTGACAAATAGTGGATGGACTAAAAAAACTTGATACTGCCTTGAATGGAAATCTGTACCTTTCCAAACTCTCTGGACATCCAGAGCATGCCAATTACATTTTCATTATATGTTTACTTCCCCTCCTAGGGAGTAAGTAGCTGCTTAGAGTGATGGCATCCACCACCACCACCCCCAATCCCCAGGAGGTCCAAGGAGGAAAAAGGCACCAGCCAAGTTAAGGATCTCATTTACATTGGCCCTTTTCTCAACATTCATTTGTGCAACAGAAAGCTCTGAGCTCTCTCTCCTATAACCCTAGATGTCTGACAGTAAATGGATCAGGCCAGCTAAAAAACCAACTCCTTTACCCAGACTGAATGAAAGAGGACTTTACATACGCAGGCCTATGTGTTATTTGCAAACACTTGACTGTAGTACACAGAAAGTCCATGCCCATTTATAAACCCACACATTTGTCAGGAGGAACATTAACGGAAAGGATGGGGCACGCGTGACGCTGCAGTGTGCCTGGGTCTGTGAGTGCTCAGTGCCTAACAGACCACAGCCCTGGATTTCACAGACTGCAAAACTACCTTAATGGATCATGCCCTGGACGTGATGAAAGGGCCAAAGCATAAGTTCTTCAAGATTCCTGGATGAACGAGCAATGTGCACCTGAGTCTGAATTAAATAGAACCAGTCTGTGAGAGAAGCAGAAGGCGCAGATGTCTGTCTGTGCACACCAAAGACACCACTGGCTCTTAAAAAAGTGAAAAAAGATAAAGGAAGAAAAATAAAATGTTATTGTTTAAATCATTCCATAGGCTTGTCTGTGGTAACCCAGTGAATGAATTGTTTAGGTGTCTGGAGATCTTGTGGCTAGATTTGGACTTGTTTACCGGCAATAGGGTTGACCTTAGCCCCCATTTAAAGGGAGAGGGGAGCAAGAGGGCCTGCGAAGTGTACAGGCCTTCCGTCCTGGAAGCACTGCCTGTCCCCCAGCTGATTAGGTATTGGTCCTTCTTCATCCCCTCTGTGGAGGTGCTTATCTTCTTTTTATTAAAAAAAAAAGGAAGGAATGAAGAAAGGACAGACAGGCACAGAAAGAGTTGCATTCTTAACAGTAAAAAATGAAAAGAAAACCAACGTGATAGCTAGAACCAAAATGATAAAAAGCCTCCTGCAAATTGCAGTTAAGCCGTTGTGACAGTGGTGGACTGCTCAGTGTGAAGGACGGCATCAGTTGTTTGTCTCACAAGTAGCCTAATTAGAGGTTCGCTTGCAAACGGGCAGTTATACAGGAAGAGACTTAAACTCACTAAACTGTTATATAAATAGAAAGTTCAAAGGTCTGTGTGGGGCTGTCAAGGCTAGGAAGGGGCCATGTGCTGGCCAGGCTTCAGTCCGTCCTTCTGGGGTGAAGGCAGCCGCGGGCCTCTCCCAGCAGCCAACACTTTCCCTGGTTTCCCTCAGCCTTGCAGGGGAGGAGGGCCCTGCTCTCCAGACAAAAGTGAACTGTTCCAGCTCCAGGCCGGCATGGCCCATGCAGGGCAGCAGCCTGGCTGCCACCGCTGGCTCTGTGCACACAGGTCTGCTGAGGCCTCCTTAGCCGCAGTCCTCCGGAAGAGGGCAACAGGCCTGTTTATGACCAGTGAGGTGTGGGGGAGAGAGCCAATACAGCCTTGGCTAGCCTCGGGCTAGGAGGAATGTGGAGGTGGCGGCACAGGGTCTTGTTTTGACTAAGGCCTGAAGCTTGCCAGGACTTCACATTCTCTACCTCCATCCATTTTATCTTCCCCCTTCCTCTGTATTGGTCTTCCATTAAAAGGGAGACCGTCTATGGTCTCTTTTCTTTGCGAGGACAATATGTTTTCTCCAGTGTGTTTGAGTATTCATTCAGCAAACCATTTGGGGTTGAGTTTCTTAAGGGAGTGTATGGGGAAGCTGTACTCCAGGAGGTGAAGTCTCCTCCAGTGGTAAGGTCTCCTCCAGGACCTCCCAAAGCCCCCCAAAGAATAAAAGCTATCTCTGTAAATTTAAAACACGCCAGTTGGACAAAGAAGAAATTATCTCATGTTAGAAATCAGTTTAACGATACGTGAATTGTTTTGCTAATGATTCAGTCAAGCATTTAACAACTTTAAAATACACAAATCAAGATTGAAAATGACTGCTTCAAAAATGAATCTGTCATTATACACATAAGCAAGATTCTAAACATTTATGCATTTTGTAGATGGATAAAATTATATTGTATTTAAACATGCTAATTGTTGTTGAATAGAAATGACTTTAATGTGCCGAACCTTTATTTCATACCCATTATTCTTAGCTAATACTATTTCTTGCATGCAAAATTTGCACATATTTAACAATTTCAGAATCATAGAAGTCCAATAAAATGGCCATCTCTGGAACAATCTAGAAGTTGTAGCCTTCTGAGCTTAGAGCTGTAGGTCATACCTCAAAAAGGGAAACTGTCATATACTTGATGAGCCTGTCATGTAGACAAAACAATTAGTACAGTAACAACATTTTCCACCTTTAATTTTGTCTGTCTTTTTCTCATTGCTGTGGGATAAAGAGATTTAAGAGACTTGTTTACAGATAATGGAAATAAATTATTGCTGATTAAAGAACTCAAGATCACAGAAGTACTCAAGATCATAAGTTGGAGACGGCTTTCTGAAGGTGTATGGGTGTGTGCGTGCAGCAGGGGGTGGGGGGCGGGTGGAGCACATCATTGACATTGCTACTGTTAATTGAGTATTTACTCTGTGTTCCAAGCATAACAGAGTGATTTAAATACTCCATTTTACTTTATCCTTCAGACAATGTCATGACCTAGGACCCACTATGGTCTCTACCGGTGAAGTAATGGAATCATTAGCCCCTTG